GTTGCTAGGTTAGGACGCTATTTAACAATAAATCTAGTATTTCTTTTATTATTATGTAGGGAATGGTAGCTATATATAATAAAATAATTACGAGATTTACAGATAAATAGGCGAAATAGGGTCTATATGCATCGTCTGAAAACAGCTTATTGTCAACAACTTGTAAATAAGTAGTAACTCTAACCTACGTACGAGAAAATTGAATGAAAAATCACCGGTCATTCACAGTTCACTCTGATTTTGTGCCATGTATAGTGATGAACCTATCACCTATCAAGTTGTGTAATGTTTCGAGAAAAAAATATGAATCACTGAAGCGATTCTACAAAACTAAAAACCCGAATTGATGACAGATTTTTAGCATTACTTTGTATCAATCAAGGCGTTTAGATTTTTTCCTTAAACAAACAAGTTATTTTTAATAATATAAATGAATGAATGCGCGAATGACTTAATGAAAATTTGAATGAATGATTACAAGATGAATGAATCAAGGACCGAATGGATGAATAAGTATAGAGATACATGAATCTTTATTTCGTCCGAAAAACAATTATACCTTAAAATAAAAAATAAATATAAGTTACTAATTTACCAATCGAAATTACTAATTAATTAAAAATAAAAATTTAAACAATTCAAATCTTAGAAATAAAATTTACATATATATTTTTAAATTGAGGTAACCATGGCCCTAGACGATTCACGTGCAAACGTCTGAATGATGTAGATATTTTGAAAGATACGACATATATAAAAAGTATTTATAAAACAGCTGGGCATTAGGTTATTATATAAAATGTTATATCTATATGTAAACGAGCTATTGTCTGTATGTCATTGAGTCGCACTTTGATGCGGATAGATAATTCGACATAAAAACATAAGTACGACAATAATCACAAAAAAACTATGAAATAACTTAAAACTAGAGATACATATTTATATTTTATTTCATCAACTCTAAGCACGTTTATACATAGGCGGACTTCATTATCACGGCATTCTTTTCCAGTCTGCTTTTATATGATGTAGAAATACTAAACGGTTGTAAAGCTCTATTCAGAATTGTTGGTAACAATTTTATCGTAAGTAAAAAGAGCCTAATTTATTTATTTATGACTTCAGGCACAAATGTGTACATCGGCGGACTTAATGCCTAAGTCATTCTCTGCCAGTCGACCGATTGGGCGATGCAGAGAAAGAATGAGGTAGGTGCATTTATGGGGATAAATGATAGAATTATTATTCAGTACTATTTGTCCTTCGAATAGACGTATATAGACAATGATATATTATTAAATTTATAGTATATATACGCACTCGTATACATATATACTATGTGTACAAAGGTGTGGTGACCCAGCTCAAATCTAAAATGGTTGTTTTTCATGAGGAATGTAGGTTTTGATGAGCTTGTTAGTGTATTGGTTGACGATATTAAGCTGAGCCAGAGATTGTGGATTCTATCCACCTAAGACAAATAATTGTGTAACGAGTACAATATTTTTTGTGATTAATATTTGTGATTGATAGTATTAATGTTGTGATTTAGGGATATGTTATTTAATATATCTTTCTTTTTTCTATCTTTTAAAAAGATGACTCTTGTACTAGGAATATTTCGGAGACTTTACATACGTACAAGATAGCAGCATCAGCCGTCATAACAGTATAAACTCTGTCTAGTTTATGATTAGAGTTTCTTTAATATCGTACCCAATACTAACAATCCATAGAAATATTTAGTTATGACTCGGCGAGTTCAAGAAGATTGTAGAACTGTCATACAACTTGCCACACATTTACCTAACCACAATAGTTTTGGCGTGTTTGGTAACTACTTCAAGCTTGCTGACTATAACTATTAACATTTATTGGGTGGGACGGGACACATATTTGTGTGATTCATGGATCCTTGAACCAAATCAGGTCGGGTAGAAGGTAATGTAAGATAGATAGATAAATACTTTATTTTTACATCAGGGTTTTACAGACATTATAAAGTAATTAACAAAAGATTTAATATACAAAGGGCGGCCTTAGTGCTTAGTGCAATTGCTTCCAGGCAACCTTTGGATGGATTCATTTTGAACTGGTGATAGGTATACAGAAATTAGAGAAATAAATAAGGTCTTAACCCATGAAATATTTATTTTACATAAATACTACTAATCTATATTTATACATAAATACTATACATACGAGTACATACGTTAATATATACATACACTAGTTTCCAACTATTAAAGACATATGATAATTATACATGATGGGGTTTTTGTCAATGTTAGTTCCGGTTTAATTGAGATTGTTAAGATGCAATTTCATAGATTTTATTGCACGGATAGTGTAGTGGTTTAAGCGGTCGCCACGCCGCTTTATACAACAATGGTCTTAAACTAGGTTTGTACAAGTGGCGGTCTTGTCGCTCATAGGCAATCTCTTACAGGCAATCGTCGTATGGAGAGAAAACATGAAGGGGAGGAGGTATTGGGTAGTGACTGGTGTATTAGGAAATAGAAAAGAGTAGTATATACATAGCTATAAAAAGATATATAATTACACATAGTATCTATTTGTTGGACTAAGGTGAAAATATAACATACTAGAGGGAATATATTTTTTTTTTTCAAAAAGACAACTCCCGCATTAGGAATATATGCTGTGTCGCGGGGGACTTTACAAACATACATGAAACGGCCACAAAGAACACAAAGACTCAGAACAACAATTTGTGAATCATACAAAGTGTCGTCCCATGTGGGGTTTGAACCCACGACACTCGGCGCAGTAGGAAGCGGCGTGGCGACCGCTAAAACCACTGCGCCATCCGTGCAGTCAAACTAACTAGGGTATGGACATAGGTGTTTATTCTTGACCTATTAACCAATATCTCAGGATCGCGTGAGTAGATGAGTCAGCTACCATCGGCGGCTTCCAAGTAAAGATGGTTTTAACTGATATGATGTGTCATGTTATAACACTTGCTTGGTGACCCTTATATGGGCAATTTATGTTCGAACGTGTTCCGGTCAAGCCTGGTGTAGGCGGGGAGTTGTAAGCGTTCCAAATTTGTCTCACTTTTTATTGTAGTTTTAGCCAAAATAAATTATTTATTTATTTATGTATACTTCCTGCAAATACATTGCCTAAGGTTGACTTAATGCCATAGGCATTTTCTTGCAGTCAACCTTGGGGTGATGCAGAGATTTGTGTGTGACAGGTGTATAATGACATAAATTATTTAAATTGTAGTCATTGCAAGATGTTGATACATCAAGCGAGTTGGGATATTTTTGTTCGCTCCTAGATATTTTTGTTATTAAATGACTAAAATGACGATGATGCACGGATGGCGCAGTAGTTTAAGCGGTCATCTTGCCGCTTCCTATTGCGCTGAGTATTGTGGGTACGATCCCCACATCGGACCAAATTTTAAGTGATCTACAAATTGTTGTTCTGAGTCTAGGTGGTCCTTGTATCCGTTTCATGTATGTTTTGTAAAGACCCCCGCGACACAGGATACTTTCCTAGTGCGGGAAATTGAAACAAATCTGAGCAGTACGTTTTTATTACATTTAATTTGTTATTTAATCATCTGCAATGAATCAGCATAACGTCATCGGTTGTCTAATAAAAATGTAAATGACGTTCACACGTATTCTTTTCTGTGTTTTAAATAATTATGTAAAGAAATAAAGACTTTATACGAAAATGTAAAATATATGCGCAATATTGTAATGAAACATAGCTAAGCTAGTCAGTGGCTAGTTACTGTTCCTGTCCTAGAGGTATCTTTAAGTACAGGAGGTACGTATGTCGGTCCTGTACTAGGAGATATCTTGAGAGATATTTCGGTCCAGATACCTGGTATCTTCTAGCCACTACTTTTTCAGTGAATATTCCAACGTACACATGCGATATCTCTTAACCAAGATTTATGACCTTGTTCGTTTTACCTACCCCAATTTACAGTTTTTCTTTGTCCCGTCTGGAAACGATTACATTCCCAAAGCAATGTTATACAGACCTCCTGTTTTTTTACAAAAATAGACTGCCTAGTTTGGGATCAGACTGCCATCTGTGAGATGTGTAAGGTGGAAATATACATATCATTTCACAAAACAACGCAGGACACCAGCACTGCAAAAAGAAGGAAAACTTGACACAAACCCTATACCAACCAGTCTGGCCAGCGTGGTATAGTAGGCCAAAACCTCCTTTCTAAGGAGAGGCCTATGTCCAGCAGTGGACTATTAAAGGCTGTTGATGATGATGATGATGATGATTTCACAATCACATTCATTGTGCGAGATTATGACTCTTACTGTTACTTCAAATGTATAATTAAAATTAAAATAAAAGGGAGATTACTATTTTATTTTACATAATTTTTTGATTGTATTCAAAACGTTCCTACATGAATACCGGTTGACCCAATAGATGTTTTAAAACCAGAACTACACTTACGTACTTTTTGTTGTAACCCTTTAATCACATTAACAGAGGCTCGCGTAGAAATCTGATTTAAATCTTGAATAGAAAAGGAACTTGGGAATGCGCTGTGGGCGTGCGAGTGATTTATTTCATCTCGACTCGTCTGCCCCCTCTAACATAAAAGAAAAGACCGCTGCGGTTCGGCGCTGCGATTGTCCCGCACTGATTTTTTTTCCCAATCGCGTCACTTACTTATATTCATAAATTTCAATTTTTGTGTACCTTCTATATGTACCTATGCATGTATTTACAAAGAAAAATTAATTTAAGTATGGTTTGTAGGCCCTTTTTTAGAATTAACACTGGGTTTGATTTATATGTAGACCGCAACTACTCGAATATATTAGTATATTTATTATATATACAATAAAAAAAGTTTTAACAGTCTTCTGGTGTTTTGATATCACTATTCCGATTTATTTTCTTTTGTCAGGTGGAGTTATTTCAAATTGTACCTTATTATTTCTAAATAGAATTCAGTATAAATGAACAAAACTTACCTGACATCCTGTGTCAACATCAGCATAGTAACCAGGTGCTTTTTTAATGCACGAAAACCTCGTCAACGGGAACATACGCTTTGGACCACTCTGTAACAGACAAAATAAATATATTAGAGTTCCACAGAACATTATGCGCTTTTAAAAAAATACATTTTATACAAAGAAAACTTTTTGGCCAGTGTGGTATAGTAGGCTAAAACCTCCTTTCTAAGAAAAGGCCTATGTCCAGCAGTGGACTATCAAAGGCTGTTGAAGATGATGATTTTGAATAAAAAAAATTAAGTTAATATTATTATTTTCATTGGTTTAACTAAATGTAATATCTACCTTAAACTTAATTTAACCGTGGATTGTCATTGGTATTCTTATCTTAAACAATTTGAGTCACTTGAATAACTCGACTAATGGTTTTTTTTTTTAATATGAAAAAATAATTTTCTCGCCGGCTAAGTATGCCTTTCTTATGTGGTTACACATTTATAAACGTTATCAATTCATCATAATATTTTATGAAAGCTCAATCAATGTTTTATTCAATAGAAATTTTGACTGCTTCGGTGGTGCAGTGGTAGCGTATGCGACTGCAGTTCTGAGGTCTCGGGTTCGATTCCCGGGTCGGACCTAATGTTTGCATGATCTGCAAATATTTGTTTCGGGGTTTGGGTGTTTTCTATGTATAATATGTATTTATTTACAAAAAAAAACATATAAGTATTCTATCAGTCAATCTAGCTTTCATAGTACAAGCTCTACTTAGTTTGAAAACTAGATGACGTTGTGTGTAAGATTTCTGAAATATTATGAAATTCAATAGTCTAAACCATTGACTTTTTTAAACTTTATGCAGATATTAACAACTCGTATCATTAACCTTTTAGTGTCTGCACAGAGTGCCTAAATAATGTTTGCACGCGTTAAAGAAGTAAATAGTATACAGCTATTTATTTATATACGGGATATGAAAATAATCGATAGGTAGGTACTATGCACTTTATTATATTATTTATTATTATGTTTTAATGTAACTAATATTATATACCTGACACATCTTACACACGGTAGATCCCAAACTAGGCAGAGCCTGTGCTATGGTAACTAGACTGCTGATAAACATACTATTGATAAATTACACACAGATACAGAACAAATAGGGTCACTAACCACTAGAGTCTAGTGTCTAATGTGTAGGCCTGCTGGTCTAGTGACCAGACCAACAGGCCTACACATTAGGTGACAATAACCATAAACTGGCCTCCAACTGTCACATCTGACAACGTATTTTTAAAAAACGGCTTCTGGGGTCTGCGGACCCTCGGTCAGAATGAAGTTTCGCAATATTTGAATTACACCCAGACACAGAACAAATGACCGTGCTCATCACACAATACTAGTCCTGGGTGGGAATCGAACCCACCACCTCCTTAGCAGTCAGGGTCACTAACCACTAGACCAACAGGCCGGCCACAAATATACCTACATGTCTTGTTTGCACTTCGATAAGGACGTAAGCACGATTAAATTTAAATGTTTGCACTCTAACGATGCATTATTGGGTCATCATTGGGATTCTTACATTCACATTGAGCAATGCAATTCAAATTGCGCAACATAATTGGTGTTGTGAAAGTGGTGGATAAATCGTGATTTAAAAGTATATATTAGGTGATAGGCAGCTTCGTATTGATGCAATACTTTTAATGAGCTTCCCTTTACTATATTGCATGTTTATAAGTACAAAAAAAACATAAGAGCAAGACATTGAATTAATAAATCATAATCAAAACTTATCCATCATTGACGACCGGATGGCGTAGTGGTTTGTGTAACGGACTGCTATTCCAAAGGTCGCGGGTTCGATTCCCGCTCAAGTCAAGCATTTGTGTGCACGAACATTTAATGTTTGATTTGGTCTGGGTGTTTCTATGTATAATAAGTATGTATTTACAAAAAAAAAGTTTATATGTATTTATATCAGTTGTCTAGTACCCAAAGTACAAGCTCTGCTTAGTTTGAGACTAGATGGCGTTGTGTGAATGTGGTAGAATGGTATTATTATTATTTTATTAAGCTAGCTGTTTTTATTTATTTAATTATATTGATTGTGAGGTGGAGGGATAAAAATGATGACTTGTAGTAAGATTTTGTATGACTTCGTCCTCTTACATTAAATTCACGCTGTAGTTGTTAAAAAAATAAATTTGTTGTTGTGTTCTTTAAAACTGATGTGCCATTTATAATTGTGACATCTTTAGGCAAAATTAAATTTGACGAGATTTTCTTCATCAATCAAGACAACAACCTTCACGATTAGAAATGAATCATAAGTATTTATGAAAAATGAAATACCTACCAAAGTTGATTTTCCACATATATCATCATCAGCCTTTAATAGTCCACTGCTGGACATAGGCCTCTCCTTAGAAAGGAGGTTTTGGCCTACTATACCACGCTGGCCAGACGTGTTGGTATAGGGTTTGTGTCAAGTTTTCCTTCTTTTTGCAGTGCAGATGTCCTGCTTTGTTTTGCGCTCTTAGTCGGCTCTTACGACACCCACGGGATGAATTGGGGTAGTGACATTCCGTATTCTTAATTCGTCACTACACACATACATTTCATATAAATACTTACAGTTTTAATTTGTCACTATTATCATTGCCATTAACAGTTATCGTGCTATAATTAAAGACATAGACTGCACTACTACGCTGAGTGTTGTGTGTCCGATCCCCAAATAGGACAACACTTTGTGTGGTCCACAAATTGTTGGTCTAAGTCTGGGTGTTCCTTGTGCCCGTTTCATGTATATTTGTAAAGTCCCCCGTGACACAGGGTATATTCCTAATGCCTGTCTGTAATGTTGTATTTTTAAAATAACAAAAAACAAAATAACATTCTTTAAATATAATTGTGGTTATTTCAACTCAAGTTCAAATGTTTAGTCACACGTGCGTTGCGATCCTTTAAACACCTCTGCCAGAATTAAGGGGGCCAGCGATGGCAACTTAACTCGCTCAGTGAAATTCAACGAAATAATTATTTAATACCAGATTTCTATAAAGCTGTGGTTTCACCCCAAACATTCCCATATGTGCCAATACATGGCTCTCCCACGGTAACTTCAGTAGTTTAAATAATATTAGGTAATAATATCTAGTATTAGATTAGCTACTATTTGTTAGATACATAACTCATTATTTTATTTAAAACCTAATGCACATGTTGTACTAATGCGGACTTAATGCCATGACGCGTTCTCTCCCAGTGATGTAGAAATATGATGCAGAAGGTACAAAATTAAACATTAAATCAACATGATTGAAGTCCAGAGATATTCACAATATATAAATACATATACATAAATAAACATACATACATAAATTTAATATAATATATAAATACTCAGTTCAACTGTTCTGCCAATTTACTCCGAAAAAGAACGCACACTTCTCTCTTGAATGCAAGGCGGTTTTGTGGACATCCTGATTTCAGCAGGGAGGGCATTCAAGAGAAGAACTGACTGGAGTTTATGAAATTGGAGGTGTGAAGGGAGCATAGAAGGAGCTTATTGTTTGACCAAAGATTTCGGCCATGATTGGAGCATGAGAAACGGAAGTGGGGTACGAGGTATTGGAAACCATAGCAGAGAATTTAAAATTGTACTAGGAACGTAAAGCAGACACGTGGTCATACTTGCGAAGATCGAATGCAGTTTAGAAGAAGGCGATCTAGTTTATTGAGAAGGTCAGCATTCAGGTCAAATAACACACATCTCATTATGTTCCACTTCAGTCGAAGATAACCCAAGAGTTTAGCATAACTGATAATTATTTATTGCATAGCTTTTAAATACATTTTGTATTATCACGATTACTGTCAGTTACATCTGCATTAATAGATTTCAATAAAATATTTTGACAGCAAGATTACGCCGTGTCAGACGGTCATATACAGACATGCATCATTACGGGCGTGAATGGATGTCTTGCATATTATGATAATCATTGAAATATTTATATTAGGTATCGTATCTGTTGCTAATATGGTAGTAACCGGTTTTCGGTAACTTTACAAGGTGTAAGGGACATCGTACCGAATACTGAAATAGTGTATTCAGACCATGATTTTGAGTCGAAAATCATTGAAATTTTCTGCCGGAAATATCATCATTTTTTTTTTAATTTTCCTTTTTTCTGGTTAAAAATAATGACAAATGATATCACAATGAGTAGACAGAACATTTTACTGGAAACAATTTAATTAATAAAAAAAACTGCAATGTAACTAATCAAAAAGCCGAAGCGTGCCGGGCCACCCCTCCGGCCGCCATTTTCTGCTAGTGTGTGTAGACTGTTTGCAAGAAATACACATGTAGTTATTACTTTTGTGCGATACCATAAAAAGTTTAATTTTCCGGCAGAAAATTTCAATGATTTTCGACTCAGAGTCATGGTCTGAATACACTATTTCAGTATTCGTTACGATGTGCCTTACACCGTGTATATGTTAATGTAATTATAGCACTATGTTTTGGCCTACTATACGACGCTGGCTGGACGCTGGGTTGGTATAGGGTTTGTTTGGGGTGCTGGGCTAGAAAACCTCCTCGTGGTGCACCCTGGAAACGCTGGCGATGGTACTGTTCCCTCCTTGTCCTTTTGGAGGAGAGGATTATCGCCAGCGGCCAATATTCTAGCAGAAGAGGCAGCCGTTCATCGGCTCTCGGGCAAGGCCTGGTCCAGCAGGGTGGGCGTGTCTGCCGGTTGCCCTGCTGGCTCTTCGCTCTTCGGAGCATGGAGGAGGAAACCTCGGTAAAAAACCTGATGGCGGGGCCCTGTAGGGGCCACAGTTTCTCCGCTGACAGCGGTGGAGAAAGGAGGACGGGCTCGGCGTGTACTCACACTACCACCGAGCAGGCAGGGGGACGTAGTCTCCCTGTCAACCGTCGGCATATCGTAATCCCGAGAAGAGCGCTGTGGTTAAGTCTCGCGGCTCTGATCGGGGACGAGGGTCTTGGCTTAATCGCCCGGACCGCGAGGAAGATAACCTCTCTAAAAAATTCCCCGAATCCCGTG